TCAAACTTCTTTCCAGACTCCATTGAGGCTCTCATACCCATTACTGTGCTACAGAAATAAGTCACCCCGTGAGAAGCCCTCAGACTCTGATGTAAACCCTGTGCAGGTGTGATGGGGGGCTTCCGCGCACCCCTGCACCTCCCACTGGTGCCTCGTGTCGCCCCTGGGACTGTACGTCCTAGGTGCTCAAGCTTGTAAGACCAAACAGGCCGCTTAGTCTCTGTCCTCTGCTCTAGGAAAGTTTCCGATCACTCCTAGGTGAGCTGCAGCCCCAGCGCACCCTTCAAGGGGACTTCCTGCCCCTCAGCATCACCCCTTCCTCTGCTGAAGTTTGACATTTTATATTTTCTCAAAACATGATCAGTTTAACTGAGATTTTTCAACACAGTTGAAACAGCCTAACATAAAAAATGGGATATCTCAAGTTTACTGAACCTGCAGGTATTTTCTTTCTTTTATTGGTACATTTTAGGTACATGATACATTTACATTTATCAATGTTTGTGCCTGAACATGATGTATCTTGGTTCTTATTTTTCTCCATTTCCTGTGCACCCTTCACCCCCTCCACCCTTCCCTATTTACATAGATTTCATTTCCGTTTTTTTCCTTTTCTCATAATTTTTCCTTTCCCTTCTTCCCTTTCCCCTTCCTCTCCCACCACCCCTATACCTTTGGACCTTTTCCTATTTCAAATTGTGATTTATTCATTTTAATCCTTATTTACACTTTCAGTTTCTCACACTAGAGAAACTGTTCGGTATTTACATGTGTGTGCCCTGTTTATTTCACTTAAGAGTATGGCCTCAATTGCATCCATTTAGCTATAAATGTCTCTAGTTTCTCGTTCTTTATGGCTGAGTAGTACTCCATTTTATTAAAAAACCACATCTTCTTTATCCAGTTTCCATTCAATGGGCACTTGGGCTGTTTCCAAGCTTTAGCTATGACAAACTGTGCAGCTATGAACATGGGTGCACATATATCACTGTGGTATGATTCTTTTAATTCTCTGGGGAAGATTCCCAGCAG